ATTTTTTTCCACGAGAGTAGCTATGGTACAAGGACTTCAGCAGCCTATTGGTCCAGGTAAAAGGAAAAATTAGCCCCTCTTTTCATAATATGTTGTATGAACTGAAAACTAACCTGAAAGCTCTCACTTCACAGGACATGTTTAAAAGAATGGCAGATCTCCCACCTTTTTTGACAGCTAAATTTGGCGGCACAACGATCCCAACTCAGTATGGAGATATAACATTATTTCAGTTTTCAATACCAAATTGAATCTTTTATCATATTTCTCACTGTTTGATAATTGAAAGAGAATCCAAGTGCTTCCTTTTCTTTGCTTCTGGTTCTCCCAACTGCAGCATCACTGATACCTCACTATCATAGCCATTCCTCAGGGCGGACACATTTTTCAACTCTTGGCTTCCTTCCTTCTTCTGATGCAGCGGAAAGCTGCTGGTTAATCTTTGTAAAAATTGGAGCTCGATGCTCGTACCCATCTCAAACCCATTTTCTGTGTGAAGTGCAGCATGCTTACAAGGTGAGATCAGCCCCTGAGAGGATTCACCTTCAGGGGAAATTTGTTGGACACTTAAACCAAGTGGCTCCAAGTTCTCTTTAAGTTTATATTTCAATGGGATCCGATCGAGACAGGACTCGGAAGCAGTAGAATCAATCCCTCCAACTGAATTGTTCCTTTGTTCTTGCACTGCAGCTTAATTAGTCATAAAATGAGGTGAAAAAAATGAAGTCAGAAAGACATGAATAACATAAAACATTTCCGAGAGCCAAAAAGTCATCACAAAACTTCATTTACTCTAATTATTGCATGGGTGCATGCGAAGGTTCCTGGACCATGACACAGTTCAAACTTTGATACCTCACTTATGAATGAACAACCCCTTTAGGTACCTACACGATTATTCTAATAATGTGCAAATATGAACATATATTGGCAACATATTAGAGAAACTTATGACAAAGACAGAGCAATCAGGAAAATGTACCAAAACTTTATTAGCACTATCACACTCAACACATGCAACTTGGTAGGTTGTTACACAATGTGGTAGAACAAAGAGTAACCTCAGATCTAAAATGGCTATACTGATTGGTTGAGATAACCAAACCTTGTAAACCATCATGTGTAGTAATAAGATCAAGCTCAAGGAGATCAAGAAGGCGTCCAAGATCAACTCCACTGGTCCAATTCTCTGGAGGCTGACCAACTTTTAGTTTCAGTCGACCTCGATTAGCTGTTCCTCCCCAGATAATCCCAACTGGACGTGGCTTTTCCTCATCCTGACCAGTTAAGAGAATAAGGCTTCCACTGTCTCCTTCAAGGTCAAACGTCTGTTGGTCGTCTCCAACAACAAGAAAGTCGGTGAAGAAACAAATCCCTTTTACATCATTATACTCAAGGGCATACGCCATTATAGTCCCTCTGGTCAACCCAGAACTTCTTCCAACCTTGATCACCTTTCGTCCAATAAGACTGTTGATTGGGGATTGTAGGTCTATTTTGTTGACATCACCAACCTCACCAACGCCTTTTACAAATGTAATGACATTATTCATGTTGAAATCTTCAGCAAAGGGAATGAACGCTCCATCAGCTCGCACAAATGTTTCTGCAGAAGGCACCAAATTGTGATGGGCATGCACACAATTCATCATATAAGATACATACCAATAATACAGTTTTGGATCAAGATGTTTCTCAGAATATACTGCTTTTATTACCTGGATTTGTTCCAGCAAAGATGCCATACCAGACATCATCTGTGATAAATGATGTTGCTCTCTCCACAGCACCCAGATATACACCAGGTCCAAGGCTGGGAGGCAAAGGATGAAACATTTTCTGACTAGGGTAGTCTAAATCAACTGCAACATGCCGGTTTGTAAGGAAACCAACTTGCCGGGTTCCTGTTCGGCTTTTGACAATTGCACCCAATGTCCCGTAAGTTTCTTGGCTAGCAACCTACAAAGAAAGAAGTCGGATACCACGAGATAAGAAATATAAATAAGAAAAGCACTTAACATAGCTGCAAATGACAAATTCATGTAAAACGTAATCAATATAACTATTGTTAAGAAAAAGATACGTCTTTTAAAATATTACAGGCCTACTCCAGTTCACCTACCACTATGATTTATCTATAAGTCCTATGTTTTGGGGAGTAGAGCACAGCATACTTTAACACTACAACCTGAAACTTGCTCCAGGCAATTTTGGTAGATTTAATTAGAACAGAATGAAGGTCTTGAAGTACACACGTGAATGATGATAACGTTTGGAGTATTACTACTTTCATGGTTCCTTCTGAGATTCGACGAGAATATTAGTTTCTCAAAACTTCTGTGGTCTGTATCATGACCAATCTGCAACCATTCTTATATATCTTCTCATCAATATTCTAGTTAGACCCGAGTTTCAAATTCTTTTTTGCATAGCCTAGCATATCCTCCATGTAAGTTTTCCTCTCAAAAAGAAAGGTAGGAATATTTACATTAAAATCACAAAGCATCAGACATATGATTGAAAACACACAATTATTTACTTATGTGATCTCAAAAGTTGCAACTAAAAGCATGTAAATCTAAGTAGAGAGTTTTAGGACACGTAGAGATGAAAAAGGAGACAAATGGTTAACCACCTACATTAATGGTGCCCATGATTCAACATAAATAAGGTATGGTTAAATGTCGTAGAATGATTAACAAAATAATTTCATCGCCTTTCCTTACCTTTTACAGATTTTTTTGGTACATAATGAGCAATTCTAACAAGTCCAATGTGTTTTCCCATTTTAATAAAGACTTGGCTAACATTGACAGAGTTTCACTTTTCTGAAAAAAGGAAAAGTTACCTGGGAACCAGAACCAATTGTTGGATCACTTCCCCTCAGACCATCAACAAGCTCTGTATATATTTCTTCTTTAGGTGTAGCTGCCGGAGCACCATAATAGGAGAACTCCACAACATCAACATCACACCATATACCTCCAGGTCCCTAACCCCAATCATAAATTTTGGGGAAATTAAAAGATGAAAAGTGAAAGAAGCAACCAAATATTAGAAAATATCTTCAACCCCAATTAATTTTATGGGTCTCATATAAAGTATGGATGTTAACCATCGTTCTATGATTTCTCAGCACCAAAAAGGAAACCTCCAACAGAGGTAAAAATAAAAATTCAATAGGATGAGTTCCAACCTCAAGTGCAGCAGGTAGACATTGAACATCATTGAGCCACTGCCTGTGAACTTTGCGTGCAACAAAGACAAGAATAGCAGGGATATCTGTCAACATACCCTTCTGGATTCGAAATCCTATAGCAGTTCCAAGGCTAAACCGTCGCAATATCTTGCTATGAAATGCCCTAATGGTCATTAGCTCAAGCAAAGTAGTAGCTCGCTGCCCGGTGGGCAGCCGGCCCAGAATTTCAGGAAGCACTCCTTTCTGAAGGTTTCCAAAATAGTTTGCTCTATCTTCAGCAGCATCATTCAAACGGCTGGAAGTGGGCCATGAAAAGTAAGCAGCGTTGGTTTCAGACAGCTGAGTACCCGGAGCAAAGCATTGAGTAGGTGATGGACTTGATGAAGGCAGATTGAGATCACTGCAATAGTTCCTTTCCAAGTCCAAGGCAGATTCCTCTGATTGTGTGGATACTGAATGATGAAAACTTAAATCCAGTCTTGCCCTGTCCATATCTTTCAGCTCTTCATTCACTATGACAAAGAATTTAAGGCCTCTTAGAAATTGAAATTCATTCTATCAAATTTAACCTCTCAATTCAACTAAATGCGGTCAGGGAAAAAATGCAAACCATTACAGAATGACATTTGAGAACTACAAAACATAATTTATGGCAGGAAGAAGATAATACGACATGCCCAAACTTTCCAACTTTCACAATTCATGCTTCTAATAAAGCCGGCTGCGAAAGATGAGGAATACAGTTGTTATAAGCAAGTGGCATATTGCAGAAACATTTCAGCTGTGGGACTTGCCTCACAAACCTACTGCATCTTCAAGCTTTCATTACTTGAGGGCATTCAAGTATACATAGAATTGACCTGGAAGATAACAAAAATGAAGAGTGAAACTTGGAGAGAAGAATGGCAGTGGACAATGTAAGTGAGCAAAATGGGGGAGAAAGAAAGGGCATGCTGAAGGCGAACGCAGTACCATTTCAGAAAAAAAAAAAAAAAGAGAGATGCAAGATGAGCGCAACAGTTTAAAGGATGAGTATCCAGATGGGAAAGCATGGCGTCAATTAAAGTGTTGGGTAAAATACAGGCGGGGAAATGGGAAAAGAAACAAAAATAAACTCACCGATCAGCAAGGGGGGAGCTGTGATAGACGAGTGGGAATAGTGAAGAGAGTTAATGGTTTTGATGCCCTACCGCAGATATCATTCCTTTGGAGATTAGTACGCAGAGCAGAATCGGTTCATCAAGAGAAAAGGGTCACTTCACTTCTTCCCGGAAGTAGAAGTTGAAGAAAATACACAACCGTGGGGATACCATTCTGATTTCTGAAACAAAGAAAAAATATGAAGTGAAAGTGTGAGTTTAGTTTTATAATACGAAGGAGATGGAGAGTTGGGGAGTAAAAAATTAACCCTTTTTTGCTTTTCCATGTATGTGGGTCGTGGATGAATAATATTAAGATTCTTATATTGGAGAAATGTATGATGATGGGAGGAAGGCTGAGGCTTGAATGGAGTGGAGGATGGAGAGAGGAAATAATTTCTTGGATTCATAATTCAAGTTTGGTGGAGGAGGAATTGGGCTCATCTCTATCTCTATCTGTGTATCTGTATCTGCTCAACCCATAGCCCATATATATGTATATATTTTTATAAAAAATTAAATATATATTAGTCTTTTTATAAATAATATTAGGTTGGAGGGTCTTTTTTTCTTGTATATAAATTATCGTTACTCTTAATAAAAATAAACTTCTAAAAATTTTAATTAAAGGACATAAACTGAAATTAAATATACCGATTCAACCTATGATTGTATTCCATTCCGAGCGGCCTTCGAGTCCGTTTGATATTCAAGTGGGCATGCATCGAGTCCGATTTCCGGAGAGCGAAGGCGGATGCCCATGGCTTTCAGTATCGGAGATCCAACCACAACGTACGCTTCTCTCTCTCTCTGCTCATAAGCGTTGATTCTACGCTATTTCTAGCTGCATACACACTGATTCTGCGCCGTGAAGAAAACCGTTCGACCCCATGCCAAAATGTTCAAAACACCAATTAAACCTCCTGAGAATCGCTCATCAGAAGGCGCCTGGGCTTCATTTCCATTTAGTTTCACGCTATTTCCCAACTTTTTTGCCTTTCTTCTATTTTTCATCTTTCGCTCTTTCTCCCAACCCAACTCCCCGAAGCGAACCCGAAAAGGATGAGGATGATGAGCTCTCAGTATCAGGTAAAATATTCAAATCCGGCCCCCAATTGGGTTCTTATAAATTGGGCGATGCCACATTTTATAGTCTCATTGAAAACTATGCAAGTTCTGGGGAATTTCGTTTGATAGAGCATGTTTTGGATAGAATGAAACGCGAAGGGCGGGTTCTTGTGGAAAGGAGTTTTATCCTAATATTCAAGGCTTGCGGGAAAGCTCATTTACCTGGAGAAGCTGTGAAGTTTTTTGATAGAATGGTGAACGAGTTTCATTGTAAGCAGACTGTGAAGTCATTCAATTCAGTTCTTAACGTAATTATTCAAGAGGGGGACTTTTCAGATGCATTGAAGTTTTATTTACGCGTTTTTGGTGCCAATAAGATGAGCTTTCAGCCAAACGTACTCACTTATAATTTGATTATTAAGGTACTGTGCAAGTTAGGAGAGATAGATAGAGCTGTTGAGACTTTCAGAGAAATGCCCCTTAAGAACTGCAATCCCGACGTCTTCACTTATAGTACATTAATGAATGGGTTATGTAAGGAAAGGAGGATCGATGAGGCAGTGTTTTTGTTGGATGAGTTGCAAACAGAAGGCTGCCTTCCCAATCCAGTGACATTTAATGTGTTGATTGATGCACTATGCAAGAATGGTGACTTGAGTCGTGCGGCAAAGCTTGTGGATAATATGTTTCTCAAAGGTTGTGTTCCGAACGAAGTGACTTATAATACCCTTATCCATGGTTTGTGCTTAAAGGGCAAGTTGGACAAAGCTCTTAGTCTTTTGGATAAAATGGTGTCGAGTAAATGTGTTCCTAATGAAGTCACGTACGGAACAATCATTAATGGCCTTGTTAAACAAGGAAGAGCTGAGGATGGAGCTCACATTTTGGTGTCTATGGAAGAAAGAGGACATAAAGCAAATCAATATATTTACTCGTCTCTCATCAGTGGTCTGTTTAAGGAGGGAAAGTCTGAAGATGCTGTGAGGGTGTGGAAAGAAATGATGGAGAAGGGTTGCAAACCCAACGTTGTTGTTTATGGTGCCCTTATAGATGGTTTGTGTCGAGAAGGAAAGCCAGATGAAGCCGAAGAAATTTTGTACGAGATGGTAAGTAAAGGTTGTTTACCAAATGCTTTTGCTTACAGCTCCTTAATGAAGGGTTTCTTTAAGAAAGGCGACAGCCAGAAAGCAATTCTTGTGTGGAAAGAGATGATGAGCCAGGATGCTAGGCACAATGAAGTTTGTTGCAGTGTTTTACTTCATGGCTTGTGTGAGGATGGAAGAGTAAGGGAGGCCTTGACAGTGTGGAAGCACATGCTCAGTGAAGGAATTAAACCTGATGTTGTGGCTTATAGTTCAATGATTAAGGGCCTTTGTGATGCCGGCTCTGTAGACCAGGGTTTGAAGCTTTTCTATGAGATGCAATGTCAGGAGCCTAAGTCCCAACCTGATGTGATCACCTATAATATACTTTTCAAGGTCCTTTGCAAGGAGGGTAATCTCATCCGTGCCGTTGATCTTCTAAATAGTATGCTCGATAGAGGCTGTGATCCTGACTCAACTACATGCAATATTTTTTTGGAAACTTTGAGAGAGAGGAATGATCCATGTCAAGATGGAAGGCTGTTTTTAGATGAGCTCGTTGTAAGGTTACTCAAGCGAGAGAGAAAATTAGCTGCTTTGAGGATTGTAGAGGACATGCTGGTAAGATGTCTGCCACCGGATGCATCAACTTGGTTCAGAGTCATTCAAAAAACATGCAAGCCAAAGAAGATTCAAGACACCTTAGATGAGTTTTGCAAAAGCTTATATGGACAATGACGTACGATTCTCTCTCTCTTATGCTTATGTGCATACAAATTTGAGGTCTCTAGTGAGCATTTCGCTAAAAACTTATTGGATGTACCAATAATTTCTTTATCCGTTATCGTTTTGTTTTTTGAATTCTCCTGGACTTTATAAAGGGTTAGAGTTCCTTATCGTTTCCTCCTCGTTTTTGTTTATCTCGTCACTTGGTTATAGATTGTTTCTTTACCCTAAAAAAAAAAAAAAAAAAATACAACAACAAGGTGCCTCTGCAGTTATTCGTTGATGATATACATTGGAAAGCATGAGTGAGTTCCATATAATGTAACTATGCTCACTTGAGTTTAATTACATTATATTGTGACAAAATGAGTCATCGAGTTTACATTTTTTTTGTAACTGTGAAGTTGCAGAAATTTCAAGAATTTTGATGTTATGTGTGTTAGGATTGTGAAGCCAAAATTGGCTGCAGAAGGAAGAGAATCCGAGAGCATAGCGATGAGATGCTGCATCGAAACAAGGAGGGAGGATGCTACAAAAGTCCGTATAGCGTCTCGATGATTCAACTCCAAACTCAAAGGTTGCTCATGCACGCGGAAGAGAAAAGAAAAGGAAAATGGGTCGAGGTCCATTTGTGATTTAGGTCGGTGGCAAGGGTCATTACATACATGCATAACCTTTTTCACTCTGAAGTTGGTGCATTGAACTTTTAGTCACAGTTCTTACGTACTTGTGTTAGTCTGTTTAAATCTGATTTTATTTTGAATAAGGATAGGCATTCTATTTCAGTTTAGGGACTGTATTTTGCTACTATCCTTTGAGATGTCCAGTATATGGAGCATGATGTCCCAGAAGAATACTGCTCTGAGTTCTGAGGTGAGTGTGAGAAACTCACAGTCTTGTTTAATTATTTGCATGATTTTAAAGCTTCGCTTCTTGTGCGGGTCTCCTAACTGTTTTGCCTATTTACACTGTTTCAGATGAACTTTATCATATTCTTACTGAAAAAAGTCAAAAGCTCTCTAACTGTATTAGCAAGGCTAGGCAAGTTTAAGGCTTTAATGAGCGTTTGGACTATTATTTTAGGTAGGAAATCCTTCCACTGTATTCAGGAAAAAGCAATTAAGCAGTAACTAACTGGAAATTTTTAATGTATCTTAATTGCAGATCTCATTATTAGTAGTAGTAACAAATGTCAGTTTCCTAGAAATGGTTATTTCCGTAGCCTCTATTGTAGTTATTTGGAGTGCCGTTGTATAATCTCCCTTACACTGGTTGCGAATTTCCCAAGTGTTCGCTTTGTAGTTCTGTTAGTAATCTGATTTTATCGTTCCCTATCAAGCAGTAGAAAAGAAAATCATCAGGGACACTCTCTAGGTGGAGGTATCTGCTTTGCCTGATTAGATGCTGTGACATTATTGTCTTCTATGTCTCAAACCCTTCAAGAACCTGACCTCCCGTTATTAGTCTTCTAAATAATTAAGAACCCTTCAAGAACATTTTTGTCTTCTTTATCTACTAATTTGTTTTCTGTAGGGTGTTGATTTGTAAAGGGTATACGGACGGGAAGAAAGAGGCGGGCAAAATGTAGCAGAGCGAGAGGCAAACCAGCTTCCATAAACGATCCCATCCTGTCCTGTTTGAAGCAACATGTTTAATGATGGCAAAGAACCAGCATCATCATGCAATCTCATTCTCCCCATCTTAGTTTGGGCCTTACCAACAGCATCATCAACTTAATTCTTAATCGGTAGCGTTTTCATTTACATCATTTTTCTCATAGCAGGTTAGGCACTTCGGCTCCTGTGCCTTCAAATATCAAGGTTACCTGTTTTTTTTTTTTTTTTTTTTTTTTTTTTTTTTTTTTTTTTTTTTTTTTTTTTTTTTTTTTTTTTTTTTTTTTTTGCTTTCTTTACTTTTTATGTATAATTTTTTCTCAAGAGAATCACAGCTAGGCTATTGTATCAATTACTTGCTAATGAGCTATGGATGTATAAAGACTCGAGATATGGTCCTGGGGCAGAAACCCACCTTTTATTGATGTGATACCCATACATTAACATCGTTAGAGTCCACATTCAGAGAATCATAAATGGTTGCCATATGTATTTTTTTTTTATTATAAAACATAATAACAACAATGAAAGAAATCTTTAGTGCCTCTTTAAATAAAACTAATAAAAGAAACGATTATAGAATACATTCTTAATTATTATTCTTAAAGCGTAAGAAACTGAAAACTGAAAGTAAAAAAGAAACAGGCAATGAGAACGGTACCGAAATGGCTTCACTTTCATCTCCAGGATCTCCAAGCCTTGCACATTTTACTTGCAAGATACTTGGCAGCCTTGACACCACCTACAGCCAATAGACCGGACACCGCCTGTCTTGCGCTTGAAACCATCACCTTTCGCCTCAAAGCCCCCTGCATGCAATCTACTGCCTCTTTTCTCGACCGGATTAACACTTGGTTTGTGACTCCCCCTTTTTCAAGACACATATTTTAGGATCATGCAATGTGAGTTCTCAGTAACAGTACAATGGTCAAATGGAATTGTACCAGATCCACTCAGACTTCTCTTCTCGCCAAGTTTTATCCCCATTGTGTTCCGGACCGTCGTTGGCAAAGATGAAACCAAAAACTCCGTTGCTGCTAATCCACAATCCTGTATTACAAGGTAAAATATTTATGTTTGGTAAAACATAAACCATCTGAATTTTCAGTGTTAGCTTGCATTTGCACAGCCATATACGCTCACAAATAACAAAGCGATATACAATCTTATTGGATTCCTAATATCTTTTTTTGAAAAACCTGATATATATTTGCCTGGTGACTTCCAGGCGATGAGAATTGCAACAACTCCTTTGCTTTGTACTGTTCAAGACTGGGTTGGTACATTGACTGGAACAGCTGGAATTGCCCTCGAACTATACTGATGACCTACGGAAGATGATAAGTAGACTAGTGGTAATAAATAGTGAAATGAAAAAAAATGTGAACTTGACAATTAAAAATTAAATCAGGTCCATAAATAAGTAGAAAATTGCTCGCGCTATATGTAAAGCAAACATGATATTTCAGCACAATTGCAAAATAATAAGAAATTATAAGGCAAGCATAAACCAAGCCGATTCTTTCAAGGATTATACTTTACAGGCAACGAAGCAAGCTCACTAAAGAGTTTTACCTTATCCCTGTCCTCTGCAAAAAGCATACGCAAATCACCCATGTACGAAAGGCTGCATATTTTGGCATACAAGTCAACCTACAAAAATTGAACTTGAGTGTAAATTTAGCAATTACAAAGATGCAGTCTTAGAAAAATGAAATCAACCTCAGTAAACTCGGGTGGCAGAAGAAGGAGAGCTGCAGATACTGCAGACCTCAGATTCACAGAGTTCAGCTGTTGAACATCCAGTGAGTCCACTAGTATATTAACCTGAACAACAAAATTAAATTCCTCAGTGAGGAGGGGGGAAAATCCAACAATGTTTTGCTGCTCAAATTAGAGCCATACATAAAGAGTGAGAGAGCAACATTTTACATATATGTACAATTCAATTTTGACAGAATAACCCACCATCAAACTGGTTAAACCACATAATATAATAGGTAAGAATTTAACTGCACGATGAGGATCTTCCAATGAAATAATTAGTAACTTTTTTCATATATATACAATTCATATTTCAAAATGCAAGTTCCTAGGATACACAAACCGGCTTCTGCAAACGGCCACTGAGGTAGAATGTCTTCCAATATAGTATGTCCTGTATCAAATCATGCATCCGCACAACCCCATACTTAAGCATCTGTACAAATGCTCGAGAAGTGAGGTTTTGCAAGTACCCAAAATCATATTGCATCTAAAAACAGATATACATCCACAAGCACAAATATGTATGCATGTATGTATATATGCAAACACCATATGCTTTTTGAGGATGGAAATCAAACTATAATTTTATTTTGTTCCAATACCTTCTTATTCCACGTAACATACGGATTAAAATGTACTCCAACTCCAATTTCATCTGCAACTTCAGTAACCTAATCAAACCAATTAGAGAAAAAGCCATCAGGGGCAGTGATAGAAAGATAGTTCAGAAAAAGAGAGTGGCGAACAGCATTACCAGTTTCCCCCCTCCAAAGTACACCATCCATGAGGCATAGTGATCTTTGTTTAATTGAATGTTCTACGTTGCAGAATGAATAGAAAAGGATAATAGATATAAGGTGGCACCGAATCATCTTATGATGCACACTAGAATGGAAATCACTCTTCAAGACTCACCTTCTCGTGCCATTTTTGAGGGTCAGAAACGCCAAGAATAAGGTCAACCATTTTTGACTAATGATCCGAAGTTTTAATCCAAACCAAAAAAAAAGAAAACGAAAAAAATCAGTTACAAGTACGAAATAATATATGAATAAAGAAAAGGACGAAAAAGAAACTCAAATAAAACCTTGTCGTGATTGTTTGGATGCAGAGTCGAACCATACATGCAGCAGAACTCCACTGGAGGAAGAACTTTGAGAAAATCCATAAGCCCGGTGTCTTCCACATTCTTCATGATTTCACTATCTTCCAGCCTATACATGTTTGTAAACGAAGTCATTACACGGGCAAGGATCAAATTTGGCCGAGAATATCTTAAACATAGACATCAAAATTTACTTCAGCCACGAAAAATAAAATCCTACTATAACTCATCATATTACTTTAAATAATGGCTAGACAAAATCCATTGAAAGAAATATACACAGACGTTCACTTGGGCACGGATAATTATATAAAAGATAACATATTTGAGAGAAATATGCTCATCTCACCCGAAATTCCACTTCAAAATCAACAGTAAAGGAGCAGGCAGAAGAAAAAAGCTACTAGGCGTAAATTAGGCCTGACTGAATCTATGCTTATAGGCAGAAGCAATGTAGCAGTTAAAGGGGAATTTCATCAAACAGTTGGAAGGCATGCCCAGAAATTTTGGAGAGGGCCTCCCTCTTAATCGAAGAGATTGGCGTGACTAAAAGAATTTGACAGCAAGTACTTTTTCAATCAAAGAAAAGAAAAGAAAAAGAAAAAAAGAGGGTGGATGGTAAAATACAAGAATCCACCCTCATTTCGCTAGTTCAATGTGTTCATAAATAGAGGGAAAGAAAACAAACATGAAGCAAGAATAAAATGGTTAAGAGTGAGAGTAGCGCACATAATGTGAATGGGCGGCGGAAATACTAGGTGGCGGTCTATCCGACGCGAGGTGCTGATGGCGGGGAATGAGTAGTGGCCGTTTTCGCAGAACAGTTCGTATTATTTTGAAAAGGCTCACCGCCTACGACTTTATTTTCTTTTTATAGTAATCCTTTTTTCTTTTTTCTTTTTTGTTTTTTCTTTACAAAGACCAGACCATGATTGTAATACAAGAAATTAAGAGAGAGAATAATTTGGAAATCGTCAATATCTCTAACTTCTTCCTAATCATTCAAATTTGGAAATCTAACTTTTTTTTTAATGATCTCTGTTCTTAATGTTTGATATAGATACAGCACCCATTCCAAAAGTTGTCTCTAAATTATCTTCCAATGGCTACCCAAATAAATTTAAAATTAAAAAAAAAATGTTGGAGAGATTGAAGAGGAAGCTTGACACCAATGAAGCCGATCGTGGATGAAGAGATCAATAACGAAGACGAAACCGAGCCCAATAAAGCTATATATAATTTGCAAAATCTTTAAAAAGAAAATTACAGCCCTTGTTCATCATTATTTCACATATTCTTCTGACATCAAAATTTGCATCTTTTGAGGGATTCCTGCTTTGTAGGCTCACAAATCATCATGAAGATACTACATATTTACAAGTACAGCATTTAAAGAAAGCACAAACTGTCAACTACTTTTGGAGGGTAGAAAGTAACGAGAAATGGTGGAACCTCGATTCACTGTATTGGATCGCTTGCGAGGCCTGATCCAACACCATACTTCTTTCTGAATTTCAGGCGGCAACTCGTCAATCACTGAAATATCAATTTCGTCAACATTATAATTCCATCTTTCACCTCGTACTTCCCCATTGTCGGACAGTCTTAATTCGCTAGTGTGTCCATCTGGCATTATGTACAAACAAAAAAAAAAAAATCAATTTATGTCTACAAGGCTTGTTTAGATCTTTATTTATTTAAAAGGGATAAAAGAAGACGATATTTGAAACATACCGGCAGGTGATAAGCCATCTTGGATGCTTTCAGAATGTTCCTGATTCCTCGACGTCGAAGAGAGATCAGGCTTAAAGAATCTCAAGATTGAAGCTGTGCCCTAGCATCATGAAATGTTAAAGAATAAAAACAACAAATCTTCAAAATGTGATAGCTTTAACAGTTAAATAAAGACCTTTTTGGATAAAATGTTTTTCAAAGTATAAACAGTCCTAATATAACTGCTTGGATCCATTTATTCTTTTATAGCAAAATCTCTCCATGATAATGGAACTTTCCAAATGAATTATAATAATAAAGCACTTGCAAACCTTGTCTTTTGATTTGTTCCTTTTCGTACACAGCGGAGACATAATTCTTGTCTTCTTGGACTTCTGCTCTTCTAATGTAATTATTGGGAACTCGCTTTTATTTGGGTCCGAACATAACTTGCTTTCTATAAGGATTACCCCTATGTAGATTAGAAAGTGGAAAAGAAAGGAAAATACTTAGGTGCATATGAATACCATACCTGAGGCGGCTAAGGGAAGTCGGGTTGCTTCTTGTACAACACCATCTTTTTCAAATTCTTTGGAAGAATAGCATGGATCCTGCACATCAAAGAATCTTGAGTTAGAAATAAGAAACGTTTTTTTTTTTTTTTTTTTACTAGAATTACTTTTCAACCGATCTTGATAAAGTGCACCACCCATAGCATTTAGTAAGCACGAAAAGATGTCATGACCAGTCAAATGCTCAGTAACTCTTAAGACAGTCTTATAGCAATGTAAATGATCATAAATTCAAAACTACTTGATACAAATTGCAAACAGGAAAAGTGGTATTTGCAATTCTGTAGTGCTTCACAAGATCAGAAAAGCTCAAAAAGGGCAATCTAAAAGTTGGAGAAGCTACAACTAAACTCGAGAACTTTTTATTTGAAACTTTCAAATTACCCTAAAATTCAAAGACCATATTGAAAACAACTTGATATGTTCGGAATGGATGTTGTGGAATATGTTACAGCAATACGATTCAGCAAAAGAACTATTGAATATCTTATACCATGACTTCATCTTTCCACAAACCCCTTTCACACTCCTCTTGATCCCAATTGCTTCTATCTGTAGCATTCTTAACCTCTGTTTCTTCTCCAGTGAATTTATCAAGAGCCTCACTTGAGTTCACTGAATAATCTGTACAACCTAAATGACCGTTCTCAATCTTGGTTTCTTCTCCAGTGTATTCATCATGAGCTTCACTTGAGTCCATAACTGAATAATTTGTAAGAAGTAAGTTACCAGGAAGTTTTAACTAAAAGAAGTATAATGAGACGCAAAATAGATGGAAACATATTTTAGCTCTTAATACCTGAAAGCAAAGCAGTTTCTTGTGTATCATTACCCTGGGGTTTGTCAGATGATGCGCAATACGAATGCTGGCTATGCAAGTATTTTGTAATTGAACACATTCCCTACCACAAGAATAAGCATCAGAAGGCTGAGCATTGAGATTAAAAGAAAAACAGAAAATTAATAAGAAAATTAGCAACCATTGAACAGATGAACTGATTAACGACTAAGAAATGGAATGGTTCAAATAATACACTAACAATTCAAGAAAAAAAAAAAGAAAAAAAGAACCAGTATTGTTCAACAGTAAAAGTTGTCACAGTCAAGATGCTACAACATTTAGACAATCATTAGTAAACTTTCCTATCAAATTCAGACAGGAAACTAAAAATGTTATTTCATCAAAGTGTCGTACTAAATAAAAAAAAAAAATAAAACAAAACAGAAACATTCATCACAATGTTTTTCGATGATTTAGGCTGAAAGCACTATGACAAGAAGTTGAAGCCGTTGGTGGTCAAACATAACCAAACCACAGAATTAGTTGCCAAATATGCTCAAACTTACAGATGGTATGGCCATAATTTTACTTGCTGAGACAGAAAGAGAAGTTATTCGCCATCCACCGTTTAGATCTCTCTGGCTGTTAGCTCTGTAAGAGCCTAAATAATCCCGCAATCCAGCCTTAAATAAGTTTAGTGCATCCTCCTGAATTTTAGCAGCACTATATCTTAAGGGACAAGACTTGGAAGGGAACTTCTTATGTGGATCTGAGTCACTCAACTGCACCACCAAGAATAATCATATCTTAGCAATTAGTGAGCAGCAAGCCATAATATGGATACATTTATTGAATTTTGCTGTTGAACCTAAATCTCAGCAACAAGTTCAGAACACAAAAAACATACCTTATATGCACTAGCATGAAGGGTAAGGGTGTGAGCCATCCGCCTATTCTGATCTAAATCAGAACAAAGACGCTCACTCAGTTCTTCAGAAAGTTCAGTTAGCCAGTGCTGAACCTGCAGAAGAGGGAATCATGATGGGCAACTCTGTGATGGTTAAACAAGGACTTCCAAACATGTCCACCAATCTTATGTCTTATCCAAAGGGGAAAAAAATCATCTCCTTGCACATGAAAACATGTTTGGCGCAACAGTAGGCAGCATCACATAGAAACGCCTTTCGAAAAGGATCGAGTCCATTTCGATATGAATGCACAAAAGATGTACATTCCATCAAGGATCCATTTTGGAGTTCCATAAATCAGATGCACATATTATCTTCAACAATTATGTACAAGTATCTAATGAAAAGGATAATATTTATGCAATCATACAACCGAGGAGTTGGATGTGGTGGTAAGGCCTTGGAATTTAACCCAAATTATGAAGTCAAAATCATCTGGGGTCACTACCTACGTTGTTTAAGATTCTACAGACTGCTTGAATACAAATGTTGTAGCCGTGGTGGTTAAATCAGTTCTAATTCTCATTGCTGAAGCTGATTCCATTTTTAGTTATAGTAGAAAACATACCCTCCCCTAATGCCCAGTTAATCATACTTTTGCAATGTTTTTAAATACTTGAATGTCATCTTATATTGAACACATTCTTAGAAGATCAAATCATGTCATGAAAGAATTTTAAAGAACAAATCTAGTAATAAGTACATTAAAATAGAAGAAATAGACAAATAGCAATTAGATTTAACTGAATATATGGTAACACTTATTTAGAATATTCAGCGTCAACAGTCAAAGCACTTTACATCAAAACCTTAATCAATGTGCAGTACAAAGGAGATTATCCATCCTCCTAAGCACACACTGACATCAAGTAAAAAAAAAATCAGAAAGAAAAGAAAAAACGACCAAACAACAGGAATGTAAATCTAATTGATGTCCTCAATAAAATTTAAAAAATAAAAGCTAAATCTTACTGAAGAAATTGTTCTCAGAGCTTGGGGGCCAGGAAAACTCTTCCCAGAACCATGGCTTTTGGGAAGAAGGCGACATTGTACTTCTTCCCCACTGATTCCTCTGGCAGTATTCCATAACCAAGTACTAAAAAAAAACAAAAAAGTGAATTATTCTATTGTGATAAGACAAACGGACAATCCTACAAAACATAAGAGCCTTTATTATTCTTCTTTTTTTAGAAGACCAAAACATTTCAGAGTACGAAATTACAAGTAAGAGCCTTTATTCATTTTGTCTGACTTTTCCTGTTTCTTGTTTCATTGTAGTTAATAGTTATTCACAAAAGATCCAAGATTGAATTCATTTATAAAATACCCAGTATTAAATCCATAACGTTCTTGTAGCTTCTGCTCTGGAAACCTCAACAGATCTCCAACAGTGTTCACACCAAGGTCACTTTCTAAAGAACTCCCTAGCTTTCCACCAAGTTGTTTCCTGCCATAAAATTTCAGAACTGACTCGGTTAAATTAAATGGTAACATATCGTTAGTGTGATATGATGTATGAAAACTTACATTTTTTTTATTGGTAGGGAATCAAGCAAGCCTTTCACGCAGGAGTGGGGCACAACAGTCTGTTGAGCAGGTTTATTCATGGCACTCGCAAGTTTAGCCAGCATCTACTCACAATCTCATATATAATTGAAAATGATGTCAATTAAAAGA